GTAAGCTAACACTCAGACAGACTGAAGTTCTGATTGGACCCGTCTCTGCAGTTTTAGGTTGGTTCTAGCTCTGTTAGCCATTAGCCAGCCAGCGTTTGGTGACCTATCTAACACTCAGCACTGATATCATGTGTGTGCGGTTCTGCCCGGCTGAGCTCCTGATCCGTCCCCTGCAGAGCTCTCTGTATGACGACGGTCTGAGTCTGTGCAGCGGCTCCCGCAGAGTCTCCACCTCTCACGTAAGCCAGCGGAGCGGGTCCAAACGGGTCCGGTCTAACATCTGGGAGGGTAATGCAGGCAGACTGACAGAAGCGTATGTGGTGTGTTCTTCCTGCAGCCTGTGGAGTACAGTAGCTACCGCAGCTCCAGAGCCTCCAGCAGGGCCAGTTCGGCCCGGACCAGCCCAGTGGTGAGAGCCACCGGCTCCGTTTGAGTTCATGCATGGGTCGGTCTGCTGCTGTGTATGCTATGTAGAAACGGTTCGGGCACTGCTAACTGAAAAGCTAGGTGTGCTAACCCTAAAGCACCAATCAGAAACATTAGTTCTGCTAACGATACAATGCTAACCAGCATCGTATTTAGCGAAAGCTAATTAAAAAACGCCACTGCTGCAACCATAGAGCACCAGTCTAATTTTCATGTTCCTTCCATCCATCCACACACACACATTCCTTGTCCCCTAGTGGGGTCAGGAGGTGCTGCTGCCTCTCCAGCTAACGTTCCGGATGAGAGGCAGGGTCACCTGGACAGGTCACCAGTCTGTTGCACCACAGAGACACACAGGACAAACAACCATGCACACACACAGGGAGAATTTAGAGAGACCAATTAACCTGACAGTCATGTTTTTGGACTGTGGGAGGAAGCCGGAGTACCCGGAGAGAACCCATCCTGCACAGGGAGAACATGCAGACTCCATGCAGAAAGACCCGGGCCGGGGTCATGTTCCAGAAAGCCCTTAAATATTTAATTCATGTTTATATCTGATTCTCTGTTTGTCAACTAAATGTTTAGTTTGAAGCTACAAGTTTATTAGCAAGTTAAATATTTAGCATGATGTTAAATATTTGGCTCACTAACTGAATATGTAGTTTGGAGCTAAATGAATAATTAGCTATGCATTTAGTTGGAAGTTAAATATTTAGTTTCAAGCTAATTTCTTTTAGCTCCAAACTAATTGCTTAGTTTAAAGTTAAATTTAATGTTTCGCTAAACATTTTTGCTTGAAACCAACTAGGGTGGGAGCTAAGTGAACATTAGGTTTGAAGCTATGTGTTTAGCATCAAAGCTGAATATGTCGTTGGTAATCTAAATGTTTAGTTTCAAACTGACATTTGAATGAAAATAGGACTTTGAAATGAACCTCCATTTTATTCTACAGGCTAAATAACCCAGATTATTGCGGTTAATTTTTGACTGTTACAAATGGCTTCCCATAGAGTCCTGCTTTATCACACCTGGATCAGGTGACTGACAGCAGGAAGCTGCAGCTCGAGTCCCGGCCCTTTAAGAAACCCCTGCAGGAGGAATGAAGGCGCTTTTATTAGCATTTTTCACATTTGTTCACATACATAACGCATATGAACAATTCACATTCAACATTACATAAAACTTTTGCTTGGGAGCCAGTCCTCTGTGACCTTTGCCCCCTCCAGTTCGTCCAGTTCTTTCTCTATTTTTGGTCGCTGTTTTTTGTCTTCATTTTTGTTCATTTCATCCATTTTTCTTCAATTTGTGCTTTGTAGTCTCAAACCATGTCAGCTTTTCCATAATGTAGATTTCTTCTATCATTCCATTGTTGTTGCCCAGGGGGCGCCACCTTTCCCCATTTCCTCCTAAAAGCTTAGATATTAACATTGTACCTATATTTCACTCTTACTTTCATGCCGTTTCAGTTGCAGAGCTGTAGCACCATGCTACTCATATCCCAGAATCTTTGTGCACATTTTTCCAAAACTGACCAATTCCAGGACAGTTCCAAACATGTGAGAATGATCGGCCTTCACTGATCCACAGTTCCTCCAACACCCCGTATTTATGCTCTTATATCTATTCTGGACATTAGCCGGGATGAAAAATCGTGTTGGATTTTTCCATGTGAACTCCCTCATATCCGCCTGATGCGTTTTCCACATATCCAACCAATCTTCATCTGTAATCGCCATGCCAAGCTCTGATTCCCGCTTTTCTTTTATATGCTTAGTTGAATGTTTCTTCAGCATCAGTTTTTGATATTGAGTAGAAATTATTTTAATTTTTACTGCACTGAATGAATGGTTTGAATCACAGACGGATCCCACCTGATTTATCTCCTGTAATAGTCTCTCAGTTGCAGGTATCTGTAAAATTCACGATTATCTACATTATACTCGTCCTTTTTGAAAACGCTGCAGTGCCCCGTCTTTCTGAAGGCGCACCGTCCTGTGACCCCTGGGTTATTAATTGAAAACCTTTTATCAAACATCGATAGTTTAACTTTTAAATAAGTCAATTTGTGTGCGACGTCAGGAGTTTGCTTTAATATCTGAGGCTAAATAAACCTCAGATATAGGTAACCAGCAGAGAAACAGATGGTTAACCAGATAGTTTCCTCTGCTCTGAGTGGAAACGCTGCCCCCTGCTGGCAGCTTTCAGTAAACTCTCCAGAGAAAAACAAATATTTAATTTTTTACTTTCAGTTCACATCAAACTAGTCTGCCCTGGTGAACCGGTGCTGTGTGTGTGTGTGTGTGTGTGTGTGTGTGTGTGTGTGTGTGTGTGTGTGTGTTCCCTGCATGCAGCACATTGCTGTGTTTTTCCCTCTGAAGATGGAAAAAGTAGTTTGTTAGTAACTCTGTCGTGTTGACGTCCTGTTGGGTTTTTCATTGTGTCGCCCCCTGGTGGCGCTGCAGGAGAACTGCGGCTCTGTCGCCAGTTTTGTGAGGAGTGGGGTGAGCGGCAGCGCCCTCTCCAGGCACCTGGATGACATCACTATCCCTGACTTCCCTGAAGTGAGTCCCCAACTCTGACGGGACGGCAGGGTGTGTGTGTGTGTGTTTTTGTGTATTCGCCACCCTGACTGGATGATGTTCAGACATGTTGGAGCGTAACAACACCTGGGATTTATCTGGGATCTGATTGGATGCTCTGAAGGTGGTTTCTTTAACTGGAACGTTTTGAGTTTTTGGTGAATTTGCTGCTCGTCTAGTTGGACCTGAAGCCTCTTCATCATCCTGTCCATCTGTCCTGATGTCTGTTTTCTGTCTCCGCAGGCGGAAGACAGAGACTTTGACAAGGTGAGAAACCGGATCTGATAGGAATCTTTAAAAGTGATCTTCATCTGTAGTTTTTCAGGTTGTTTCCCAGTCTGATGGAGTCAGGACTCCGTCTTGACTCCGTCTTTCTGCTCCAGCTATGATTTCAGAGGTTCATCTCTGATTGGTTGTTTCTTCCTCAGGGACCTCGAGCCGCTTCAGCGCTCACGGCGGCGACCCTCACCTCGGTGGGCGGGACTTCCTCCCGGCGAGGCAGCGGGGAGACGGCGCTGACGGTGGATGCCGATGGCTCCATCCGGGAAATCAAGGTAAAGCCTTCTGGGCCGGAGTCAGTTCTCAGAGCCGGCTGGAGAAATCCGCTTCATGTTTCTGTTTCGTCCCAGAAGTTCAGTGAACCGACTGCGGAGCGTTTCACTGCAGGAACCAGGAAGTGATCACATTCAGCCCAGAAATCGGACCGGTACCGATTCACCCAGAATCTTCAGGTTTGGGTTTATCTGAGCTGGAATAACTAGACGGGATAAAACCCGGATAGAATCACGTTTGGTTCTGATATCGATCCGAACTCATAAAAGTCTGGCCAGATTTTATTTTTCTCTCCATTTTCAAAGTTTTGTGACAGTAAAAACTAAAATGTCAAGATTTAAATATTATCAAAAATGTTTCCCTTCATAAATGTATTTCCCTAAAATAGTGTTTTTGTTCTAAGTATTTCTGTAAAATATTTCTTTCATTTCTCCAGCAAACAAACCAACAGAGAGAAATATAAAAATATATTAAAGATTTTTTTCTTATTTATGAAGAAGGACAAAGAAATAATTTAAATTATTATAATTTAAAAAGAAGAAATACTTTAAATTATGAGGAAAAGTCACAGTGTTACCAGAATGCTGTGATATTAGCAGGACAGTGATACTCCAATACAACATGAAAATGAGGAATGCTGAGCAGCTCGTTAAGTTACACTTTGGTTTTATCAGTAAGGAAATATTTCATCTTTTAACACATCAGCATTAAATTCACAAACTTCTTCAAAAATCGCTGAGAAATAAAAAAGATGTACAGAATTAGCTGGTTGGACGTTCATGACTTTGTTTGGCGGTTCTGCAGTAAATAATGCGACGCAGTAGGAAACTGATCAGATTGATCCAAACAGAATGAAACGTTTCTGCAGCGTCGCAGCAGACGGACTTAAATCTGGAAAGTTGTTTTATGCAGAGGAACGCTCCGTCAGGCTCGGTCTGCTGGTTCTGCTCTGACCGTTTTCTCTCCACATCACTTCTGCTGCTGCTGCCATCACCGTGCTTCACCTTCATCGCTCCTCTTCCTCTCTGCTGCTGCCGCTCTGCCCACCAGGAGATCCATGAACTGAAAGATCAGATTCAGGATGTGGAAACAAAGTACCAGCAGAACCTGAAGGAAGCGAAGGTACCAGCCTGAAGCGTCGCTAACTAACTGAGCTAGCTTTAGCTCGGGGGTGCCCAAACGTTTTGAGACCAAGATCTACTTTTTGTCTCACCAGCCGCCTGAGATCTACCTCAGGACACACAGACATAAAAATTGCAAATTAAACTCTCGACTTATTTTATATGCAAATATCCATCAGTTGTAGCAGAAATAATAAAGTGACAGAAAACCTAACGCAGTTTCTTCCTCAGTGAGATTCTGACACTGGGAGCAGGTTACTGGTTTCTGGTTGCAAACCCGAGGCCAGCAGGTGTCAGTCAGTCATGGTAGATCTGAACTTTGGTTTGATGACCTCAATATGCGAAACTACAGACTGATAGGAGGAACCAAAGAGCCCAGCAAAGGTAAAGGCAAATCTTCTGAAGTCGGGATATAATTAATTTAATTTCACGTAATTTGTTAAAACTTAATGAAATATATTTGTCCTATTTGATGTTTGTTGTGACATATGCTCACATACGAACGAGGTAATTTGTCCAAGTTTGTCGTTTATTGAATGTTCAGAAACTACAACGGACAGGAGCCACAGCAAAGGTAAACAAAGGTAAAACAACCCGAACAGATGATCAAATCAAAACTACTCCTACCTTTGTACTTTCTGTCTCTTTGTAGTTTAAGCACACCT